TGTAAACGACCTTCGTTTATAACATAGCAGCCCGCTACTGGATAAGAAAATACGAAAGTGGCTTTAAAGTCTGGAAAACGTTGAGAACTCTACAAAATTAACTTTAAAAAGTCATGTAATTTATCTGTGACTGTTGAATAGACAGCCTAATAAAACAAATACAAGCATAAACAGTTAGTTTAAATGAAATATTTATATTAGCCAAACAGTCTAAAATGCTTAAAATGCTGAAAAGCATAAAAGTAAAATTTGAATATCATCATAAAATTTGAAATTTATAAGATGTAAACATTTTTGTAAGATGAGCTACTTTGAGTACATACGTATATTTCATTTGATTTTTGTGTGAAGTATGCATTATTATGAACTAATATGGACGAATATTCAATTCACACTACAATTTTAAGTGTCTACACCAAATATGAAATTTTATCTGCATTCGTTCGTTGGCTATTGGTACGAGTAGACAGACGGACAGATGCGATCTCACCATTACACGCTCATTTCACGCACTTCATTCTAAAAACGTATAAAAATTAACATTTCACAAATTTAAAATTTATACCTATATGTATGTATGTGTATATACGTTAGAAGTAATAATTGCAGGTGAAAATGTGTTGAACACTTAGAAAAACTGTCTGGTAAACTCATACCAAAAACTGTTTAAATGTTACCGGAAATCAGAGACACATTTTGTAAGACCATGTATAAGTTGGGTTAACATTGGAAAAGACTTGTAGCCTACCTTTAAATAAGTTATTAAGTATTTAGCAATAAGAAGAGTAAAAGAGCGAATGAATAGTATACAACTCAGCGATTGGCCCTCTGGCGACGTTGAACTTCGCCCGACTGCTCCTCTTGCAGAGCAGATCTGTTCAGCACATGCCATCACCAGATGTCTCACACAACTTCATGATTTCGAGCTCAGTAGTGTTGCTTTAATTCCTGGCTGGAGGGGGAGGGGTGACCTGTCACCCTCCTGTTTCCGTGTTTAAAAATTTATCATATCTTGGTTAGCTACAACATGGTTTTAAATGAAATGAGTAACATTTCTGGAGGTTCTAAATGTCTTTACATCTCTTGAGATCGTTAGCACCTGTAGATCGCACCCAGGTAGTAAAACGAGTGTGTTTTAATATTGTCCCATAGTTATGTTTTGTGACTGCATATCTTTGTATAAGCAGCAGCGGCATTGTACTTACAGCAAAATATCTCCGAGATAGCCAGCCTTGGTGCGCGGTCGGAGGGGAAAGAATAGCACACAAGGCCTTTTTCATTTTAGCTTCAACGCTTATTGTAACGTTGCTCAGGCTCACAGATATTTTGCGCAAAATACAGAAAATAGGTGATCCTACACACCCGGGTGGTCAGGGGGTAGGGGTGACTTTATAGTTAACATCCCTCTTAAAACACAACTTTACGAATTGTCGCAAGAAAATCTTTTCTGTTCTTTTACTCTGTGGGAATTACAGACTGGGGATGTTTGAATTTAGGGCACTGAGGACAATATTTTGACCTAAAAGAAATGGAGTAACACAGCGTTGGAGGAAATTTCATAGCGAGGAACTTTATAATTTGTACTCTTCAACGAATATTATTACAATGATGAAGCACATACGTCATGGTTGGGGAAATGAGACATGCATGTATAATTTTAGTTTGGAGACGTCAAGGTAATAGACCACTTGTAGGAGATTTGGGTGCTTAAAGAATGTCAACATTTTAACGGGCCTTAATCAATTAGGATGTAAAAGTGATGACTAGATTCAGCTTACTCATAAGGTCCAAACTCTATAAATGGTATAAACTCTTGGTAATGATGTTCTGTTTCTTAAAATACGGGGACTTTATTAATTAAGCTGAGCGATAATCAGCTTCTCAGGAAAACCTTCGATTCTGTATTGTTATGATTATTATTATCATCACCATTATTATTATTTGAATTTAGTTGTGTTAAATGAAAACAGAAAATATTTATTACGAAGGAAATTATGTTCACCAACTTTGTTGTTCGTCCATGCGTATTCTGTTATTCGATAATGTAGGCTACTACACTCGAAACTTAAAAGTAATTGCTATTGAATCGCATATCAATCCACGTCTTTCAGTGCATTCTTCATTTGTTCTGAAACTTAAAAGGAACAATGTGCGCATCCTGGCAATTAACGGGTAGTCCAGACATGTCTGATATTTTGCACCCACATGTGTTTCATTTCCACACTTCATTGATTTATAGGGTACTCTTTTGAAATCATTAAACTGCTTCTTTATCTCTTTGTGTACGTGGTTTGATTCGCAAAGTAACCTAGTGTTTCCGCACATTCGTTGATGTTTCTGTCACATAAAGTATTTGCTTCAGTGAAGTGCGTTCTCTTGTATGTTTTCTACAAATACGAGTAGCAGACCACGTAATCGTAATACTAAACAAATCTATTTGTATAAATTACGTGTGGTTTTGTGTTGGAATGAAACTTTGTCTCTCGTTTGCAGGGAAAAATAATAAATGTAGGGTGTTAAACTGTTCTTTTGGATTTTGTCAATCGTCTGCATGGTAAAGATGGCTGTCTTCTGTGTTATTGCGCCGTTTAGTCTGGTAGAAGTCTGCCGACGTTTTAGGGGTCCTTGCTGCATCCATCATAGCTCTGAAGATGGAGGCAGCAAGTACATCTGAAACGCCGGTAAACTTATACCAGACTACACGGCGCAAAAACACATAAGACAGCCAAATTCAGACTCACCACCGTGAAAACCTCAAATCCTACATAATCGTCTACATGCTATAAAACTGTAATTCTTCGGAAGCTAGATTCTGTTCCCGTTTTCAGGTAAAAAAGGTGAAAAGGTTTTGGGCCCCCTGGCTCAGGCTAGCTCAGGGCCATCTTTTCTTAACCGCTTACCACACGAAAACATTTTAGACAAGGCTTAGTAACTTATACAAATAATGTTTAAAGCTTTATTTGAAATACTTTTGATACAATAAATATGCAGCCAAATAAGACAAAACAGTTTATGTGTAGGTATGTAGTGTAACTTGCTTTCCAACGCTGAATATTTACGTGTAAGCTGTTACAGATTTGATTTTGATAGATCGGCCAAACGAAAACTAGCAAAGAATGGATTTATAAAACGCACACGCGACACCAGAAATTGCAGCGCAACTTCATCCTTGTATTTAAATACTCTGAGCTCAACCAACGGTTTTCTCTCAACTTGTATCTGGAACTGAACAGACCTAAAAAAAAAAAGACACGGTTCAGCCAAAGAAGTGTGTCCCTCACCAGAAGGTCATGAGGTAGGCACATTCGATAGGTCAGCACCCGTCGTAGATGCCCCTAGCGGTATCGGGGTCACGTGTTATTGGGGACAGACGGATTGGCTGCGAGGCTCCCACTCGGGTCATCCATTCCGGCAAAGTAAAGGTCAAGGTCTGTCCTCGCACTTGACAGTTGGCTGCAGCCTCTGGCGACGGGTACTCGAAACGCGTAAACTGGTTGGTCTTCTAAGTCAGTTTGTAAGGTTGCAGATACATTTGTGATAAATAGTGCAGTGACACGGTTTTGTATTTGATGTCTGTGTGTTTTTTCATATCTTTACTATAAAAATTTGTGATTCCTCGTTGTCGTCAACCAATTTGTCGTCAAAAAATGACGTCATCAACAATGTCAACAAATATTTGTTTACACGGCATTGTTGTTGAACACAACAATGTCGAGTAAACAAATATAACGCTTCACAACAAAGAAATCAAAAAATATCAAGCGAGTGGCATTATCACTGCTCCAGAAGGAGCACTTAGCATTCTGGAATATTGACTGACAGTTGGCCTAAAACATCAGAAAAGTGAAAGAAGACGTTATCAAGTATTTGAAGTACCAACTCCAACAAGGTAAACTGATACTCATTCGATATATTACGATTACGAAAACTATTATGAAAACTGACTTTATGATCGATTTTAAGACGAAGATTTGCAGGGGTGGGGCTGGACGTAAAAAGTTGACTGACCAAGAACAGTTGGCCTCTGAACAGCGACGTAAAGAACTACAACATCAGACATATTTAAGAAATAAAGAAAAGCGAAAGAAGA